ATTTGATAGAATTTTATTTCCCACATCTTTGAAATTGTCAATAGAACATACTTCAAATATTTTATCATGCATTGGCCATTCTACTGTATTTATATTTTGCGCTCGAACTTCATTTTGAAGTTTTGAAAGAATTGATGTAACAGTCAATTTTTCATTACCGAGGCTAATTGAAAATTGTAAAATTTTCTTATGATTTTTGTATATTGTCAATGAAATATATGTAATTTCATTATTTTTGACAGTCAAATTCGTTACACGAACACGTGGTAACTTTTTGTCAATATCAGTTTCGAATATATTTGGCTCAATGGTCTCCACACTTGGAGCTGTGACATTAGATGTGTTTTTGCTTTTGTTATTTGCATTTTTAGACATTGATCGAGTCATAACCAGAATCTGATTCGACGATCTGTTCCTCACTCTTTTTGACAAAATATCGCTCTCTTTGCTATTATCCATTCTGAGAATTGGATATTCTTCAAAAATATCTTTTAAATCCTCAAGATCAATTCTCGACAATGCGTCGGCCACCACATTGTCTTTACCAGCAATATGCTTAATGGTAAATGAATACTCTTCCAATTCTAATCGAATTCTCATCAATTTCGAGGAAGGATTTTTAAGTGAATATAGATAAATTAAAGGTTTATGATCTGATAACACTTCAAATTGTGTCCCATAAATATATGGTCGCAACGTGTTAATCGCAAAATGAATCGCTAACAATTCTTTTTCAATAATGGGTTTACTGAGTTCACCCTTTTTAAACGTTTTTGAGATAAACGTGATTGGTCTATCACCCTCCTCATATTTTTGGCTCAAAACTGCACCACAAGCAAACGTGCTTGCGTCAACAGTTACAATAAAAGGCTTAGTAAAGTCTGGATAAGCCAGAATCGGAGGCGAAATGAGTAATTGCTTGATTTGCTCAAACGCAATTTCGCATTCATCCGTCCAATTAAATTTAACTTTTTTTCTTGTCAAATTTGTCAACGGTTTCGTAATTCGTGCAAAATGTCTAATAAAACGCCGGTAATAATTTGCAAACGCAACGAAACGTTTTGTTGCATTACCATCTTTTGGCCTAGGGTATTTGCGAACAGCTTCCAGTTTCTTGGGATCTGGTAATAAACCATCAGCTGTGCAAATATGCCCCAAAAACGACACTTCCGTTTTGAAAAATTCACACTTATCTGGGTTCAACTTTAAGTTATTCTTTCTACAAGTTTCAAAAATTTCTTTTAAATTTTGCAAATGGTGTTTCTCCGAAAAACCCAACACAATTACATCATCCATGTAGATAAAACATTTCTCAGGAGTTAATTTTGAAAATGCCAATGTCATCATACGCATAAATGATGCCGGAGCCACATTAAGACCAAATGGCAAGACCTTCCATTGGTAGTGACCATTGTCGGTGCTAAAAGCAGTATATTTTCGTGACTCTTTGTCTAATGGAATTTGATGATAACCAGATTGTAAATCCATTACCGAAAAATACTTTGCCCGACCCAAACCATCAAAAATCTCGTCAATACGTGGCAACGGAAATCGATCTGGAATAAGATTTCGGTTTAATGCCTTGAAATCAACACACATACGCCATTTCTTCATACCATCATTGGACTTTTTTGGAACTACAATAAGCGGGCTATTGTAATTTGATCTACTAATTTCAATTAAATCGTTTTCTAATAATTTATTAACTTGTGTTTTTATTTCTTCTTTCTGTGACTGAGGGAGACGATAATTTTTTATGTAAACTGGAGCATTGCTACTGACATTTAGATTATGACTATAAAAATTATTCGTTGTCATAGCATCACCATCTACATGGAAAACGTCAGCAAACTCAAGACACATCGGCATCAGATCGTCTGACGCATGTCGAGGCATTTTCGACCGCAGTCTACTTCTTAACTTTATCAATCTTTCATTACTCTCATCACACATAATATTTTTATTCGGTTTATATATATCATAATTTCCCAATGGAGATGGTACAATTTTTCTAGAATCAATTGGCTTAATTTCGTCATTATGATTCATAACTCTGACCCATGTTATGGGTGAAAAAGCAATTGTCGTAGCTGTAATAACATCTTTAGCCACCTCTTGAGATTCTAATAAACAAGGGAATTTGTCCGAATTAATATGAAAAATTCTAAAAACTTCAGAATTTGGCGGCAGTACTGATAAACCCTTCAATCGTTCTGACTGTATTGGCACTTGAACAGTCCGTTGTTCTGTTCGTACAGTCAATTGCATGTTTCCATAATCAATTAAACATTTATTATTTTTTATAAAATCTTTTCCCAAAATTCCATGAGCGGGAATTGGAAAGTTTTCTGGTACTACATGAAATTTGTGCACAATTTGTATTCCACCGATGACTAAGGTCATCAAACAAGCTCCCAATGAACTAATCGAACTCGACGTGACACCAGTTATCGTTATTCGTTCATCATTATATGTTAATTTGCTTGAATATGAATTTACTTTAATTACTGAAATGTGAGCTTCTGTGTCTACTAACCAAACTAAACTTTTATCTGATATTGTGCTAGCTATTGTAACAAAATCATTTAAATCGTCATTAATTTTAAAAATTGTGTGCATTTCTTCAGTACTGTCTTCACCATTTCCTAATTTAGCGGAAGGGTGTTCCCCTGATTGTCGTGATTCTGCCGCTCCGCTTGCGGCTGGTAATCGTTTCCCTGGTAGTATCGCACTGATTGCTCACCACCGTTTCCATAATTACCTCTGCCTCGTCCACCACGACCGCGGAAATTTCCTCTATTTCCACCACTGTAACTACCATTCTGGCCGTTACCATTACCATTTCCACGCTGATAATTTTGCTGATTGTTGCTAAAATTACCTCTTCCACCTCGGTGGTTTTTAGATGAGCCACGCCCATTTTTCTGATTATGATTTGAACCCAAAGCTTTTCTCTTATCTGCTTCTTGCTTCGCTAAATCTGATTGTGTAATCAGTCTAGCAACAACTTCAGCTGGTGACTTATATGGCCAAGACGACACAGCAGATTTAACAACATCTTGCTTAGCAACCCGTCGACATAAATCTATAGTCTTATCAATACACATTTCTCGGGCTTTGTCAACCGTAATACCTTCAGCAGTAAGACTTCGTCGTAAATCTTCAGCCAATTTGTCAACTTTCTCAGCAAATTTTGACATTCCACCTTTTTCAATATTTAGAGAAGCAAATCTACCCTCTAAAATCTTGCTCGATACTGGTTTTACCAATAATCGAAGCGAGCGCTTGATAGTGTCCATATCTTCTATCAATTCTGGCATAGCGTCTTTCGCCTTACCCAAAAGTCGCGCTTTTACATATTTCAATGCCAATGCTCTATGAGCATCTGTCTCACACACCTCTTCTAATAATTCGACATCAGCAATGAATGATTCCAACTTTAGTGGATCACCTTCATACTTGTAATTCAAAATAGCGGCACACATGGCCAAAAAATCTTTCGTTGACACAACCATGTTTCCCTCTTCAAAATCTGACAAATTTTCAATTTCAGACAAATTCACTTCAATTCTATTTAAAACACGGTCCCCTGTATTTAAATTATCATTCACACTTCCAGTCTCAATACTCGACAAAGCTTTAGCCACATCAGCTGAATGCGATTGTTTACTGACTTCTTCATCCGATGACTCTTCACTATCTTCTTCAAAAATTCGATTGGAAACAATTTGTTCAAATTTGTTCTCAGACCAAATGTATTTTAATCCCAATGTAACAAAATTTCTTTTAACCCTCAAAATAGAAGTATCTATACGCCTAACAAATGCTACTTTATTAGTTTCAGTCGATGTAGAATAGTACTCACAAACATACGACAACAATTCATTAAATGATCTAACTATATCATCTCGTTTCTTATTACGGTCAATATTAGAAGAAAATTTACGGTTCTGTGTTTCAATGACTTCAACACGTTTACAATACTTGTCAAAAGCAGATACCAAAGTATTATACGTTTCAGGCGCAAAAACTCGAGACATTTATGTAAATTACTATTAAAATCATACAAAATTATGAGACAAATACTTAATTTTCGAATTGAACCTCTCAAAAATTAAACAAAAAAAAATATTCAACTTAAAGCTATTTATAAAATTTTTATCCTAATTCCATTCTCAATACAATTTTAAAAAGGCTTACTTGAATAAATATACAATCAAACAACTGCTATTCGTCCTTCAAATATTCGGTTTTATTCTCGTTGAAATTATAAACTCGTCGATTTAATTGATAAAATTCAGTTGCACTGTTTAACAAAAATCGTTGGATTTATAATTCAAATGTCGGAATTATAATTCAAATGTTCATTTGTTTTATTTTTTTTGATTCAATTGTAGTAAATCGGTTGCATTATCAGACAAAAATACTCCACAATATATTGTTGATTTCATATCAAAACATTAACATAGGTCATGTATTCACATATAAATGTCTTATTTACTTTAAATAGCAACAATAGTATATTTCACTGTGAAAATACACCGTGCATTTGCCTATATACATACTTAACTGTTCATTTCATACAACATAAATAATTTTCACTTATATGTGTATGTAGTTCATATGCTTTATTTAAAATCAAAACGGAGAATTGTCACTAAAATGCATATATATTAACTGTTCGTTATATATTACAACGGAGGAGAATTGTCAGCACTTATATGATTTTTGCCGTTTCTGCTTCTTCTCCAGATATTCGTCGGAATAT